TTCAGTGAGAACTGTCCCAAAAGGAAGAGGGAAGGAGATCTGACCGCACCAAACAGGTTTGTACAGGACTCTGATATTCACCACGATTTCAAGAGAAAAATGACATTGTTCAGTATGACTTCCAACAGCACACCGTGGTGCTTGACCAGTCAAAATGTTCTAAAATCAAGATGTGATCTTTTTCAGATTGTGCACTCAGACCTCAAGAAGCAGGAAGAGGAGCCTAGTGGAGCCAAACCAAACCAGGTTTGTTCAAGAGGATAATAATTTTACAAAACTGTTTCAGATTGTTTAGTCCTGGATAAGTCATCCTGTAGTGCAGGTTTATTCCTGGTTTAGAGCCAGATCAGACCTGGTTGAGCTGTGGTTTAGTCCTGGTTTAGACTGAAACTATGACTAATTACATATATTTTCTTTGACTAAAAGTAATTATGTATTTCTGTTGACTAAAAGTTGAATGAATGAGTGGAGTAAATAGATTTAGATTTGTGTTGACTAAAACAAACAAAAACTAAAAAGAATTATTTGACTCTTGACTGAAACTAAAAACACTAAAACTGAATAAAATTTCTTGTGAAAATGAACACTGCTACGTTAATCTGCATCAGTGTTGCTCACTCCTAACCACATGGTCACTAAGTCTTTATTTCTCTGTATAGGTGTACAAAGCGCAGGAGCAGGTCCCCCTTGGGCCCTCACCACAACCAGTAGAGGGCGCAATCCAACAGCAGTTACCTCCGAGCTGCTGTTAAACTGATAGAGAGCTCTTTAAGCAGACCAGAGTCAGTATTCAGTACTGGTCTGGGTCTGCCTTGGGCTCTATGGAGGACAGAGAGGGCTGGGGTAAAGGGGGAAGACAGAGGACATCAGATTGGGGTAAGTATTGATATAGAGCTCTTTAAGCAGACCAGAGTCATTATCAGTACTGGCCCAGGTCTGTCTGGAGCGCTACAGAGGACAGAGAGGGGAGGGGTCTGTTCTTTAAGCAGACCAGAGTCAGTATTCAGTACTGCCCCGGTTCATCCTTATAGCGCTACAGCCTACAGAAAGGGGAGGGGTAAAGAGGGTGGACATTTTTTTCCAAAGAAAAACATCTGATCTGACTGATGCAGAGCTCCAGACCACAGTCGGCATGCAGTGCCGGCTGGGGTCTGGGTTAGAGGTCCACGTGGGACAGAATTTTCAGTCCCATCAGTCGCGGAGGGGGGTGTCACACTGCGACACGGGACGGTCTGCGCAACATACGAGATGGGAGGATGGTCTACGCGGCGTACGAGCGGGGGGACGGTCCGCGCAAAGTACTCGAGGGGGTACGGTCTGCGCGATGTACAGGAGGGGGTACGATCCATGCGACGTACGGGAGGGGGACGGGGGGACGTACGGGGGGGGGACGGTCCGTGCGGGGCCTACGGAGCGGGGGGCGGTCCGCGCAACGTACGGGTGGGGGGACGGTGTAATGGGGGGGGGTTTGGTTCAATCCCCGGCCCGGTGGTTGGGGACCCTTGGTCTAAAATGTGCACGAGATTACACCACATACACAAATTTAGGCTTCTTTAAATTTTTTTATTAATGCCAAATGAAATATCCAGCACAAATTACGCATGATATGCTTACATTCACCATTTGTATTTTTTTCTTTACATTCATATTTAGTTTGCGGGACTGCAGTTTATCATCCCACCCGCCCGCTCCTGCGTTGTATAGTCCTACTCTCGCCCCTCCCACAATGATTTTTCAAAATGTGTTCCGCGCCGCACTGTTTCGCGTCGGATCCCTGCAGGGCTTTAGTCTGGGTGCTGCATGTGTGAACAGTCAGAGCATTACACTGCCCCCTGGAGGAAAGAGCATTTGCGCAATAGTGGAGCAGCAGACAGAAGTGATGGAAGAGGAGGACCTCCTCTGCAGCGGAAACAAGTATTTCAGTTGGTACAATAAAAAACTCAAACTGACTTGTATGTAGCCTTTTCATTTTTTTCCCTCTGGTTTGCTTTGGAGAGGTTTGGTGCAGCCGTCAAGTACCTCCACTGTCTAAATTCAACTGTACTGCCCCATTTTAGGGGTCCATAGAGGAACCTGGAGGACACCAGATCCCGGAGAGGATCACCACGAATGGCAATGACTAGACAAAAGAGAACGCAGACTCAAATGTGGCATAATGTAGATATAAATATAAAATAATTTCTCACCAAACACTAACTGAAGGAGAAAAAGAAGAGAACAGAACAGAGGAAGCAGTGAGCATCTCAAGACACTAAGGCTGAGCTAGTTGATTTCCAGGGAGTGGATGTAACAGTAGACAAGCTAAAAGGTATAGGCTACAGCAATAGCGTTACTCTACAGTGGTACACTTAGTTCTATATATACTTTTGGGGGAGGGTAAAAATGTCCATAGAACACGTGCAGCACTCTTTTGTATTTTAATGCAAAATCTTTAAAGTGAAGAACACAGTCATGGTTAAAAAAAAAAATCTATCAAAATACATTAAATCAAGAATGACTCCAACATATATAAAAGCAAATGTGGTGAACAATTACCCCAGGTAGCTATGAGGTTCCCAGCGGCTGCCCCCAGTTTTACCACCAAACCTGCTACTTGCCCATAAGCTTTTGGAAATGGTACTGCTGCTATTGCCACATACATGTACACAGACACTGACAGCATAAACACAACTTCCTGCAATGAACTATATCTGTGCAAGATCTGTGGCAAAACCATAAAGAGTCACTCAAAATAAAGCATCAACAAAAATACAGTACTTTCAAACATGGGTCTGATGGTGAGATAAGGAGGCAGGGCTAATGCAATGATATCCGCAGCAAAAAATTTTCAAAAATAATGTTGTACATCAATTTTTAGAGCCAAAATATAGCCTTATACAGAGTTTGTAATGGGCTGAAAGTTGTACAGGAAGTAAAAGATAGGTGATGATGCAGGATAGGATTGTCCAGCTGCCTCCAGTGACACCTACAAAGAAGAAAAAAAATGTTTTCGTTGCTGAGACTGAATTGCATATATAGAAGTTTAAAGTACACAAAGAATCAAGCAATTGATCAGACAACGTGCTTCATGTTCATATTTCCAAACAGTAAAACCAGTTACCCACCCATTTACGACACATTCAGTTCAATGGGCAAAGTTTGAAGGGCCTATATTGTGACATTTTCTGATCGATGTTAATGCTGTTTCTTCATCACAAGCATACCTGGAGTCGAGTTTGCTTTCATTCACTCATGTTTAATGCAAACCCTGCATATTTTGCCTGAATTCTTCTATCAAACAGAAAACACTCCACCAAACCACCTTGTGATGTCATGGGAGTGTTCCACTGTGTTTTTAAACTCCATACACTTTCAGTAGAATCATTTGGATAATTTTAGCTCTGGAATTGCCAATCTCTACTGAACAATAGGTAAAATGTAGCTGTTAACTTGAAAACTTACCTCGCACGGTGGAACAAAGCATTTAGAGCTTTGAAGACTGATGATAAAGGGTTACTTAAACATGTGTGAATGAAATGAATGAAACGAACCACAACCTCAAGTGTCAATTTTGTATAATATAGAAGCTTTAACTGTCAGTATTTGCTTCTGCCAGTTAGTAAGTATTTCTACCATGCCGCCATGTCTCAGTTTTCTTATACTACTGTAGCAGACCAAGTGGGTGAGGAGGAATGAGACAGACAGGTAGTTTTTTGGGGGACACGGCCAGCATTGTGACTTCTTTATTGTGCAGTGAACAGTCCCAACCAAAGCGGGAATCCACTCTTATATATAGGCACCAGGTTCAGGAGTACAGAGCATGCGCAGGCAGATTTATGCCTTACACCACACATATATTTGATATTTTAAACCCTTTATATTTCTATATACCTGTCCAGGGACATTTGATATTCTCTGTATTTTTTTATTTTGTCACCCACCTGATAAAATAAAACTAACAAGCTTCTAGGCATAGAAAGTATGAAAAGAAAGCTGTAACCTACTCAAAACATAAACTACTTCTAAACACAAATCAATATGACTCAATATGACTATTATATTAATCCCACCTGGACTTTTAAACCTTTGAGGTCTCTAAATGTCATAATCTTGGCTTCAGTTGTAAAAAAAAGGAATTGCCAAGACCACACAAATTCTCAGTCTCCAGTTTGTGAGGTCCATACCTCTCAACAGCAGCATTACTCCTATTTATATTTACCAAAAGATATCCAGGCGGGATCTGAAATCAGATCCCCTTCCTCTGTCCAGCTTGTTCCCAATGATAATTACAGTAAATAAGACAGCAGAACCAAAAATTGCAAGACTTCAGCTTCACAAAGAGCCCAGCATTTGTCTGTGTCCCTCGGGGTTCAGAAACAGCCTCACTTTAAAATGAGGGAACTTTCAGATTTTAGATATTACACAGGTTGTCGACACAGGTTGTGTAATACCTCGTTTTACCACTAGATGGCTGCGTTTGGTTATCTATTCACCTCTCGTTTATTTCACTTTTCATCTTTGACTTCTTTGACATCTTTAACTAAAAATCGTCGTGTGGAAAAGTCAACGTTCTAACTTTAAATAAAATGACAACAAATAAAGCTTGTTGGGACTTTCAAGGCACAAGCCTTACACCATAAATACTTTTGAAATGGTATTTGTCTTCAGGTGAGCTTATGTTACTTGATTAATTGTTTATTTGCGTGTATTTTAAAACATTAATTTCCTGCCCAACTTCTACCCAGTGTCTTTGGCTATTTTGGGACATTCACGTAACCTCGTAATTATTTAAAATCATGTGACATGTTCAATAAGCTAACGGCTTCAACGGAGAAATCGACCGATACATTTATATCAGATATCCAACCAAGCAGTTACTAAATAAAAAATCAACATGCAACCATATAGTTATTTTTTATGTTTTGAAAACACGCAGGGTTTTTAGGTAGGTTGTTACTGTAGATGTGTGAATTTCATGTTTCCGGGCCCGCCCCAAACGCAGCTCGACTATCACATGGCAGGTGAGTGTGGAGCAGCTCCGCGCGCACAGACGACTCCTCTCCACGGGTCTGCGCGTGTCGGAGCAGTGTGTGAGTGACTTTATGTGGACGCCAGTGAATATGTGTGAATGAAAAACTCATGTAACTATTCTAGGATTTTTCTGTGACGGAATTATTACAGGGAAGCTACGGAGAAGTCAAACTGTGAGTAGACTGAATGATCAAACTCCTTCACGCGCTTATTTCACCATGCTAGCAAACTACTAATAAGCTTGTTATATAAATTGAACCCAAAAGAACAGATACACGTGTTATGAATTGTATATAAATTGATTATACCCAGTTAACATAATTTATATCCAAATAATATGGCATGATGTTAATAGTCCACTATACTAGTATACAACATCGATAGTCATTAATCTATTTTGATTGACATATAAATCAACTGTGCAATCTTTTCATTTCTACTAACTGAATAATTTTGGAAAAGTTTATTTAATGTTCAGTCATTTACTCAAGTAATGTTTAAGAATGTTATGAATCTTTATGTCCCAATACTTAATGTTGCAACTATCTCCACCCTTGACTAAATTTAACACATGCATAAATGTTAAGTCATCACTTCTTTTTGCAATGACTTCTATTGATTTCTGCCACTCTGCACTCTACTCTTCCTTTTACTGATACAGCCTGATTGTTTTTGCATGGGTTGAACATTTGTCTGTTGGTGAAGGAGATCCTGAAAGCTGCAGGGTTCAAACTGGGCAGTTGTGTTGTGAACTGGTGGCTCTCTGCCTGCTCAGTGCCGTACCTTCACCCTGCAGCTATGAAATGATGTTGAGTTGCAATGACACATGCTGTGTAATTGCAGATCTAGATTTTGTGACAGCGTGAGTAAGAGAGGGGGAGGTGGGAGCGCGTGTGTGGTAATGGGGAGAATCGGGACTGATGTGTGGCCCCCCTTGGCTCCGGCAGCTGCTCATTCACTGTAAGAATACGCCCACTCTGATATACAGTACACAACTGACTGCATTATCTGATTATTCTGTCACTGTGCACATCACAAACTGATCTGCTAGTAGTTGGATCTGTGATTATATTCCCTTTTATTAATATTTATTATTATTAACATACATTTTTGTCTAATACTTAAGCGTTAACATTCATAACTTATTCTGCAAGTTTTCCTTTTTTATTGAACATTGTGAATTATTTTGATACCACTTTATAATAACTACACCTTAATTTGCCTTGTAAAGCAAGATTGATTTGGCATCTTATAACAGCGTTTTGAAAATAAGTGATTAAAGATTGTTTAAACATGCACGAATCACTCCAAAAAACAACTTTGAGAGGGGAAACGAGAAGGGGAAACAACTATAACATTGTTAAAGGCACTGAAAAGTCAATTTTGCACAATATGTCTGCTTTAAGGGGTTAGATTTTTAAGATGTTGTTATTATAAAGTGTTACCATTATTTTTAGTGAGTCCAATTCTATGTTCTGCTATCTCTCATGAAAATACAATTTTGCCATTCATCCTTTTTACTTAGGGGATATCTTCTTGTGAACTAAAGAGAGTGGAAGCAGCAGGTATTTTATTTGTTAGATTAGATTAGCCTTTGTTGGAGCAGCAATGGACACAAACACACTACACGTACAACAGACAATAGACAAAGCAGTCACACCACATTCACATGCTACATCAATCCAATAGTGGCAGTTACTATGAAAAACATACTGACAAGATGCAATACAATACAAATTTCTCAACCAATTCATTGATACTTTCCAGTCCAAGGCACCTGCAAATTGTGCCCAGTCCGGCTGCTAAAAACACATCCTGATTTACACATGTCTGAAAAAAGGTATAGCACATTATCACCCAAAAAATACAAAACAGTGCACTAGTAGCCATCAAGATGTGACCAAGATGACATATATGACACTGTATAAAAATAGTAACCAATGTGAATTTGTAAGCCTGTCATGATAACAAATTTTGAAGCACAATATACTGAGATAAACGATAGTACTGAAACTACTTTATACCACTGGCATAATAACAACAGAGCAAAGTAATCCCAGTAAACCTATTTTTAGATATACAGTATCGTTAAAAGATATGAACTGCAACAAATGAATAGCAGAATGAACCAATAATTAGCAATAAAAGTGATTTATTCTACCCTCTACAGCTGAAATCTTACCTTATTACATTAAAATAGTAAAAATCTCCACACCTTTTGAAAGAACTTAAATGATAATGGTAAGTCAATATAGTAATTATAGTGGTGACTGTGTATTTGGTCATAAGTGTAAAAATATGCTCAGGCTCTATCTCATAAACTGCATGAGTCTGATAACAGGACAGTGCCACAAGTCGCAGCAGAAGCAGTTATTTAACAGGTGTGCAGCAGTTTTACAACTTTAGTAAAAAAGATGAATGATCAGACATTTATAGCTCACGCGCTCAACTCTGTGATCGAGTGATATTTTACAGCTGCTACAGAGGAAATTACAGTTTGGAAAAGATTTATACTCATAGTAAATAGCAAATTATGGCTATTCCTGACCATCTGGGAAAAATAAGCGAAAGAATTGGCGGTGTTCACTATGGTACGATATAGAAATTTGGTGTCACGATTATCATGGCCAAAATAATTCAGATTAACGATAAATATGAAAGTTGCTGACAGATAAAAAATGGATATGAATATTGATCATTTGAATATTATGAATAGGGGTGTGCAAAAATATTGAAATATTGATATATCATTTAATCATTTAATGTGATGACACAGTATTGATAGCGTGGCCTGCTGTATTGATATATATCGCTAAGAGTATTTTTTTGGTATATTTTACTGAATTATTTTGTTAAAGCCTTACAGTTTTGTTGCTTGTTCAGAGGAAGGAAACTCGTTTATGCAGCATATTTGACATTTTCACTGTTTTGATGAGTAAAATGTTTGTGTTTCATATTCACTTTGCACAAGAAGTGGTTTAACAAAGGCTTTTAGGTTCACAGCCATGATTTTGAAGTTATTTTTTATTGAACCATATCAAATCGATTTGAAATATATTATAGAGGTATGTATCGTATCATGGCCTGTGTATGGAGGTATGTATCGTATTGGCAACTTCTTAATGATACCCAGCCCTAATTATAAATAGGTTCCATATTTAAACAACTGTTATAGTGTTGTACTTTTTTAATGAAAGTAAAAACAACAATGATCTAAAAAAAAAATAAAACATCATGAATAAGTATATTTTTCTGCACATTCTGGTGATTTAAGATTTATTATCTTTCTTGTCAATTTTCACGATTATATAAAATACAGTTTATTGCCTCATCCCTAGTGTTCACATGAGAAGATGTCCTATAGTATAAAATATAATTTGATGATGGAAATATATATCTCTGTAATTACTGGGCCTAATGTTAGTATAAATAAAAGTTAAATATAGTTTCACAGTAGCTTCAGAATGTTGCGCCATTGTTAATTGTTGTCAGCTGAAAGGACCTTCAGCTATAAATTTAATATTGCGTGTTTGTTGAGCCAATCCTCAATAAATAATTATAAGATTCAACATTTGTGTATCATAAGTTAGTTCTTCCAAAATAGTTCTTCCAAAAACGCTGAACCTCCCATAGAGTTTTATAGACCCCTGTCCCCAATCCACAAATTCTAAACTGTGAACATAACCTGCTCACTGCACTGCACTTTGAAGGAAATAGTAGTTTTGATTGTTAATCTATTAGGGAAGTAATGATATCCAAAATTCTCTATATAATATTTTCACAAAGAACATCTCATGGTATGAAATTTATCGCAGTATTTTATGGAAGTTAACAAAACTGTGATTCTGCTAGTGTTCTCTTATAATCCAAATAATTAAGATTCAAAAGTGCCTATTAACAGTTATTTCATCATGTAGATTGGACTGAAACAGAGCAAAGGATCATGGTCTATGTAGTCCCATCTGTTTTTGCTGCACCATAACAATTAATTTAAGCAAAGAGACTTAAGATTCGATATATTATGATGGCCCACGATATTACGACTTTTAATGATATGATATCACAATATTTCTGTTATTGTTACATCCTTACAGTCTATCCTTAATATTTGCTGACCCAGTATTGTGGCATTGCTCATGAAGACATTTGACTGCACTGAAGCCAGGTTTGTGGATTTCCATTAGAGCCATGTTGTGCCCACGAAGCTGAAGGAGCCAGTGCCTCTTTTCTCTTGCAAATCTCCATTTAAAAGACTGGGTTGAAAGGCATGGTTGCCATTGAGGCAGTGAATTGATTATGGGTGCTTTGGTGGGCTCTGGTTTGGCATCAGCAGCAGGTACATCAGAGGTGATAGATGTGATGCCAGTTAGAGCTGTGGCTACTGCAAAACATTCTTAAAGGGTCCATATTACGCGATTATCTGATCTGTGTTATGTTGTTTCCTCACCCTGTTTCATCTTGTGATGTCATGATGTGATACAGGAAGTTTGTGTTTTTTAACTCAAAATCATTTGGATAATTTCAGCCCTGGAATTGCCCGTCCTTTCTGAGCTAAAGGTAAAATGTAGCTGTTAACTTGAAAGCTACCACTACATGACATCACAAGGTAGAACAGAGCATTTTGAGCTTTGGAGATGTAGATAGACTAACAATGCAGGATTACTCAAATGTGTGAATGAAACAAAACGCAACTTCGGGCATGTTTTTGAGGAGGTAACACCATTATAACATGTCTTAAAGCTCACAAGAATAAATTTTGTGTAACATAAGGACCTTTAACCATACTGTGCATTGCAAATAGACACCGGTGAAACAAAAATAAAAGATTACCTTGCGAGTATTTTATTTCAGTTCAACCATTTTGGCAACTTCATCATACACAAGTTTAAATTGTCTCTACAAAACAACAATTTTGGTATTACTGGATATTTCTGTGTATTGTCAACCTCAGTTGTTAATTCATTGTTGTGCCTGGCAGTCTGTGGTTTGTGTGTGAGATATCTTGTACCTTAGATCCTCCTAATGTAAGGTTCTTTCGGATAGAATATAAATCAGAAAGCCTGAACAAATATTAGAAACTGCTGCTTTGTGCATTTTGCTTATTGTGCAAATAGTGAAAGTGCTGGTGCCTGAGATGTGTGTTAATGTGTGTAGTATTAACACTTTGTCCCAG